CCTGCTGTTCTCTGTGTCTCTGTCTCGCTCTCCATCTGTCTCTCCATGTTTCTCTCAGTCTCTCTGTCTTTCTCTCCATCTGTTTCTCTCTGTCTCTGTCTTTCTGTCTTCATCTGTGTCTCTATGTCTCTGCCCTGTCTTCATCTGGGTCTCTCTGTCTCTGCCTTTCTCTGTCTCTGTACTTTTCTCCATCTGTTTCTCTCTCTATGTTCCTTTTTATGTCTCTCTCTCATCTGTCTCTTGTTTCTTTCTCCCTCTCTTTCTTTCTCTCTGTTTGTCCACCCCCAAGGCCTGTCTCAGATTCCTTTTCCACTCCCCATTGTTAGTGAAACTCCATCCGATTGTAAAATGCAATTCTGGAAGCTGTCAAAGGCAATTTGAGAATTTATCCAGGTCGGGAAATGGGCGGCCAAGTGGTTTAACATGGCCTTTAATCAAAAACCAGGCATGGCCATCAAATAATGTCGCCACATTGATGATGATTTATTTGCCAGTGAAAGCAACTTCAATAGGCAATTTTCCAGAACGTTCTAAGGAGTGGCAACTTTCCTGAAGCAACTATCTACTTCCTAACTGGATGGATTTGAAGGCTAAGGAAACCATGTTAACCTTATAACATATGTTTATACATAAAGCCATCTTAAATGAGACTAAGAGTTGTTGAAGAAGCTTATATATTGGGAAATGAAAACTCGGTCAGATATTATTTATGAGTACATAAATCTCTATGATTTTAAGCATGGGATAAAACAATAGAATATTAAGAAATGTTAAGTTAAAAGAACTTATGTACAATTTATGTATGAATATAAATTATATGTTAGTGTGTGTGTGTGAGCGTGTGTATGTGTGTGTGTGTGTGTGTCTTTTTGTGTGTGTGTGTCTTTTTTCCCTTCCAGTCCTGGGGCTTGAACTCAGGGCCTGGGCGCTGTCCCTGAGCTTCTTTTGCTCAAGGCTGGCACTCTACCCCTTGAGCCACAGCACCACTTCTGGCTTTTTCTGTGTATCTGAGACTGAGGAATCAAACCCAGAGCCTCATGCATGCTAGGTGATCACTCGTCTACTGAGCCACAGTCCCTGCACCCCAGCTTTGTTCTTGAAAAAGCCAAGCCCTCTATCCTCAGCCATTTCTACCTTCTTAGAGCTGAATGGTGATGCTTTTTTCTTGATAATTAACCGATGACACAAATCTAATTTTTCTCTTAGGATTTCCCCCCATGCAATAGCCCATAATCAGCCAGGCTCACACCTGTCATCCCAGCCACTCAGGAGGCTGAGATCTGAGGATCGAGGTTCAAAGACAACCTAGGCAGGAAAGTCTGTGAGACTCTGATCTCCCATGGAAAGACACAAGACCTGTCTTCAAATATTAATCACATCCATTATGAACACAAATATTCTCATCCAGCCAGCCATCTGTCTCTACCTATCATCATAAATTAGCCAGGTATCAATTCTCTTCTCTCCATATGATGATCAGTTTTAAGGTTGTTCAATATGACCTTGTTTTTGAGAAATCTTTCCACATTCAGGAAACTGATTACCTCACGGTTTCCTTTTTGTTTGTTTGTTTTTGGTGCCAGTCTCCAGCCTTGAATTCAGGGCCTGGGCTCTGCCCCTGAACTTCTTTTGCTCAAGGCTAGCCCTCTACCCTTTGAGCCACAGTGCCACCTCTGGCTTATTCTGTCTATGTGGTACTGAGGAATCGAACCTAGGGCTTCATGCATGCTAGGTGAGCCCTGTAACAGTGAGCCACCTTCCCAGCTTCTAAATGAAGCAAACAAACAAACCAACACTTTTCAGATACCGACGATATGCTGTGGAGGTAAAAGGAACAAATTTAAATTCAAGTCCTCATCAGTGGCTGTTTGGGGCTGCTCAACATTTTGTTTACCAATTATATTAAATCATCTGTAATTTAAAATGATCTATCTTTTCTTTTCTTTGCAAGTAGATCAATATAAAACCTGACTGGTTTCCCCCCAAATCATCTGAATGTATTCTGGTTACCAAAATAATTATAGAAAATATTAAAGCCTTTGTCCAGACTGGAATAAATGTACTACACTGAGATTCATGTTTCTTAGCCCTCAAACAACATCTAAAATGCTCCCATTTATTAACTGGCCCAGTCAACATTCAGAATGGGCAGAAAGATTTAGTTTTATGAGTTAAAACAATAAGCCAAATCTCTCCCTCTCTCCCTTCCTTCCTCCCTTGATCCCTCCTTCCCTCCTTCCACCTCTGTCTCTCTCTTTTCTCTCTCTCTCTGTCTCGCTCTGACACCACGAAAGGCTGTGAAAATGGGAATTTAAGAAACGAACTACCTTGAGACTTTTTAAATCATGGCTGAGTAGTAATTGCGTGTTATTGCCTCCTTCATAAGGTAACTGATCAAGATGTCTGGCCCCAGGTGCTATTCTGAGTACTATATTCGAGTTAGAGTTTCACACACGGATTCGAGGGAGAAAGCTGTCAACTTCTAAAGAATCGTCCTTAACTCTGACTCTCCAGTCTCACCAGAACTTGACCAGACTGTGAGAAATACGCCTGGCATCATGGATTGGACACAGAAGACCTCGATCCTCCTGGTGGTGCCATCTGAACTAGGCTGCAGCTTATGAGAAGTAGAAATGCACTAACAAAGGAAGGATTAACATCTGGGCACAAATGCACTGACAAAGGAAGGATTAACATCTGGGAATATCAAGCTGGAAACAAGAATCCTATGCTCACTATATTTGGGTGTGTGTATGAGTGTGTGTGTGTGAGAGAGAGAGACAGAGACAGAGAGAAAGAGAGACAGAGAGAGAGAGACACAGAGAGAGAGAGACCTGGGGCTTGAAATCATGGCCTGGATGCTGTCCCCGAGCTTTTAAATCCAGGCTAGTGTTCTACCACTCCAGCACTTCAGCCACACCTCCACTTCTGGCTTTTTGCTGCTTTATGGGAGATAAAGAGTCTTCACAGGTTTTCCTGCCCCGGCTGGCTGAGAACCACGATCATCACATCTCAGTTGCCTGAGTAGCTGGGATTATAGGTGTGAGCCACAGTACACCAGCACGTATTCAGTATTAAAATGGAATCTACTCATCTGGATTTATTCTAACACTGGTTTTCTGCTTCAAAAGAAAAAAAATCAAAAAGAAAGACCAAACATTGCTTATACCACTAGTGGTCTCATTCTTTACTTAACTAAACTTTTCAGGGGTTTGTAACAGTACTGAGATGGGCTAAAAATTATCCCAGTGAACACAGCTGAAAAACGTTAAAAGAAAACAAACACATCTGACTATTTGTGTATGTCAATAAACTCGAACGTGGTCTCATGTTGCTGTCACTTTTATAACAAATGTGTAATATTCTTTATAAAGATTCCATTTAGTTCACCTTACAGTTCTACCAAGGAGAGGTGCAAGAGAGAAGCTGAAATCCGAGATCACAATTCAAAGCAAGTCAGGGCAGGAAAGTCTGGGAAACTCTTTGATCTCCAATGAAGCACCAAAAACCCCGACGTGGAGCTGTGGCTCAAGTGGCATAGTGCCAACCTCAAGCAAAAAAAGCTCTGTGACAAGGCCTAGGCCCTGAGTTCAAGCCCCACGAACTGCCCTACAAAAAAGTTTAAGAAGCAAAAGGAACAGTCCAATTTCCCATTCGAGGTACATTTTCTATTTTGTTTCTCCAATTTAACATCATCTTTTATTTGTATTCTTATTCGTACTGTCGCCACCTCATAAATTTATTGAGGTTAAGGTATACCCTGCATTATCTTAATCTGTCTAATTTCTTCTCTGATACAAATCTGAAATTTTTCACCTGAAGTCACATAGAGCAAGAGCTTAATATAAATAAGAAAAAACTTTACAGAGTTATGTATGGTGAGATTGAATATTTTAAAATAGTTACAGTAAATAAATTTAGCATATATTGAAATCCTGAATTTGAATTTTAGCATTAAGCCATGATAATATTATAGGTTGTAGCTTCTTTCCTTCTGTCCTTCCTTCGTTCGTTCCTTCCTTCCTTCCTTCCTTCCTCTCTTCCTTCCTTCCCTCCTCTCTTCCTTCCTTCCTTCCTTCCTTCCTTCCTTCCTTCCTTGCTTGCTGGCTTGCTTCCTTCCTTCTTACCTCCCTTTCTCCTTCATTCCCTCCTTCCTTTCTTTTAGTTCTCTTCTTCCCTTTCCCCTTTTCACTCTCTCTCTTTCTTTCTTCTTTCTTTCTTTCTTTCTTTCTTTCTTTCTTTCTTTCTTTCTTTCTTTCTTTCTTTCTTTCTTTCTTTCTTTCTTTCTTTCTTTCTTTCTTTCTTTTTCTTGTCGGTTGTGGGGCTTGAACTCTGGGCTTGGGTGCTGTCCCTCAGCTCTTCAGATCAAGGCTGGTGCTCTACCACTTGAGCCACAACACCACTTCAGGTTTTCTGAGTAGTTCATTGGAGATGAGAGTCTCATGGACTTTCCTGCTCTGGCTGGCTTTGAACAGGGATCCTTAGATCTTAGCTTGCTGAGTAGCTAAGATGACATGCATAAGCCCCCAGTGCCCGGCCTCTTTCTTTCCTCTTTTTCCCCTCCTTTCCTCTCTTCCTTCCCCTTTGACATACAGGAATAAATACTATTAGAAACAGGTTGGAGACTCTTCCCGGTATCCAAGTTATTCAAGATATCCAGCCTCCTAGCTGGAATATTCTACAAGATTCTGGAAGAGGGTTGCATCCTGGTTCATTATAATGGGCAATGCTATATTGAATAGAGCAAAAGATGATGGATTCCCTGACATGGGGGAAATCCTCTGACTTTGTGAATTCATGGTGTGTGTGTGTGGGGGGGGGGTGTAAAACCACAATGGGGGTCGAATTAGGGGCCTAGAACATCTGTGCATTTCCCCCAGACCCTTCTGAGCACTCTTGGTGGAAGCGTCTAGCACCTGTCCAACACCCCTGCCTGGCCTTTGAGATAGGTTCATAGGCCACGACCCGCGATCTGCCTGTTATCCCTTCCAGGTACCAGTTCAGGTCTCGGAATCTCTTGTGAAGGGTAAGTGCCACCAGTGTGGAAAATGAGTCACGGAATGAACATGCATCTCTGTGCCTCGGGAGATGTCACAGACCTGTCTGCGAGCGTTTTCCTGGTAGGACTGGCAAGCTGTCCAGAATCAAACCCCTGATTGCCTTGAACAGGATATTAATTTATATGTCCTTGGGGTTTGTTCTTTTCACCAATGTGGGGACTGAATAAATAGCCTGCACTTTATTGGTTTTGGTCTCCCCACACCCACCCCCCCAGAAAGAGTTCAGATGATATATTTCTTCCGGACTTGCTACAGACATAAATGACTAATTAAATTAGACCTATTTAACAAGTGACATCTGTGTCCCAGCTGGTCTTAGGCTATTGGAAAACAGTCAGTAGCGCTTTCCTGCCTCATAGACTTCACTCTGCACTTTTGAAGCTGCATTTTGAGGGTAAGTTATACTCAAGCAGGATCGGTTCCTCAAAGGGACATTTGTGACACATTTTGTTGCAAAATCTACCTAATTAGGAATTACCCCACGGTTCCTCTGACTGCTGTCCTCCTGAGATAGTTTCTCCATCTCTGTCTCTCTCTCCCTGTCCTTTCTTTCTCTTTGTGCTGGTTGTGGGCCTTGAACTCAGGGCCTAGGCACTGACCCTGAGCCTCTTTGTGCTCAGGGCGAGCGCTCTACCATTTTGGCCCCCAGCGCCACTTCTGGTTTTCTGGAGATAAGTGTCTCATGGACTTTCCTACCCAGGCTGGCTTTGAAGTGCAATCCTCAGACCTCAGCCTCTTGAGTAATTGGGATTACAGGGGTGAGCATCTAGTTGCATCCTCTCTTTTGTGAGATTTATTACTAAGTGGATTAATTATCTCATTTATTGATTCTTATTAGAAATATCAAGGAAGTGCAAAATGTTAATAGTTAGATCATTATCTCCTAATAAAAAAGAGTTTATTTCAGATCAAATATTAAATTCTGTGGGCTGAGAAAGTGGCCTAGCAGTGGAGTGCTCATCTAGCATGCATGAAGCCCTGGGTTCAATTCCTCAGTACCAATACAAAGAAAAAGCCAGAAGTGATGCTGTGGTTCAAGTGGTAGAGCACTAGCCTTGAGCAAAAGAAGGTCAGAGGGAGCACCCAGGCCCTGAGTTCAAGCCCCAGGTCTGACCAAAAAAAACCTAAATTCTAATGAACTACACATTTTCATCTGGATTTAGTTATAAAATTAATCCCAATACTATGAGTCAAGAATGTGTAGTGGGTTGCTGTTGGCTCACATCTGTTATCCCAGCTACAGAGGAGGCTTAGATCTGAGTATAACAGTTGTAAGCCAGCCCAGGCAGGAAAGTGTGTGAGATTCTTGTCTCTAATAAACCACCAAAAAGCCATAAGTGGAACTGTGGCTCAAGTGGTAAAATACAAGCCTCAAGCAAAAAAAAGCTCAGGGTCAGTGCCCAGGCCCTGAGTTCAAACTTTAGGACCAGCACACAAACAAAATTTAATAGACATATAATATATATCTCAAAAGGATAAGCTATTGTCTTATTAATATACGTTTGCCCGGGTTGGTCTTGAACAGTAGTCCCCCTATTTCTAGCCTCTCAAGTGGCTAGAACTACCGGCATGAAAAACTATGCCTGGCTGGGTGTGGGTTGGTCACATATATAATGTCAGCTAGTCAGCTGAGATCTAAGGATCATGGTTCAATGCCATCCCAGGCAGGAAAGTCCATGAGACTCTTAGCTCCAATGCACCACTAGAAAACCAGAAGTGGTGCTGTGGCTCAAGTTGTAGAGCCTAGCCTTGAGCAAAACAAATTCAGGGACAGCGCTCAGGTCCTGAGTTCAAGTCCAAAGACTGACAAAATACAAAACTATGCCCAGCTCTAATACTAGTAATTTGGTTTTCCTCTTTCTGGTTCTCAGAGCACTTTTAGACCCTTGGAAGATGTAAAGATTCTGGTTACTGGGATGAAAATGGAGCAGAGAAAGGAGCTGTCCCTCTTTGAGCAGAACCATTTATAAAAGCCCATTCTGGAAGAGCTTCCAGAATTTTTAAAAGCAGGAAGAACTTCCTGCTCTGTGGAAGTCAGGAAAATATCCAGTAAGACAAAGAGGCGAATTGGGAGGCCGGGCTCTGCTTTGTGAAGAATTGCTACGTGACTCTTCTCGACTGGCATTCTGATCTTATTTGGCTTTTGTTTTTGTGTGTTTTTTCCCACAGATGAGATTTATGAGATTTACTCAGGGCAGGTGTCAGCAAACCCAATACTCAGCGGAAACCTAACGCTCATGGTTCATTTCTAGGTGAAGCTGTGAGCCTTGAACTCAGAGAAGGATCAGACCTGAAGGCCTGTCCTTCTCCTCCCTCGATTTGTTCAAACACCTTTTAAACATCCATGTCTGTCCATGGCCAGACAGTGGAACACAACTGGAATTAATCTGAACCCTGAGAAGAAGTCTAGGGAAGGAAAGTGGATGGCAATTTCATAATTCTGTACGTTACTTCACTAAGCAAACTGTGGAAGTCAAAAATGGATGGCCACCGATCAAGGATTAATATATCTATGTATGTATGGTCTCTGTGTGTGTGTGTGTGTGTATGTGTGTGTGGGTGTGTGTGTGTTGGAACCAGGTTTGAATTCAAGGCTTTGTGCTCTTGACTTTTTTTTTAGCTTTTTTTTCTTTCTTTCTTTTTTATTGTAAAGATACTATACAGAATGTTACAGTTACATGAGTAAGGTAATGAGTACACTTCCTATTGAGCATCGTTACTCCTTACATTGTTTTCCCCCTACTATCCCTTCCCTACCTACCTTCCCCGAGGTTTGTTTTTTTTTTAATTGTGATTAAGTGATTACATAATTTCCCAAATTTCACAGTATGGTGGAATAATGATGCTCATTTAAAGTCACAGGTTCATTCTAACTTTACTGGAGTAAATTGTCTATCACAGTCTATAACATATTACAGTGTACACATATACACCATACATGTGATCAGCAGCTTAGGGATATTTAGTAGTGGTTCGACCATATGAGCAGAAGTTCTTTGTTTCTTAAGTCCTGTTAATTTTGTCGTATCACCTAACATTTTGGATTTAACATCCACTTATTAGGGAGACCATTTACCGTTTATCTCATTGCACTTGGCTTACCTCGCTCAGCATGATTTCTTCTAGCTCCATCCATTTCCCTGCCATTATTTTGACATTTCTAATGGCTCCACAATATTTGTATCCATTCATCTGTGGTGGGGCATCTGGGTTGTTTCCATATCCTACTATTGTGAACAGTGCTCCAATAAACATGGCGGTGCACGTGTCCTTGTATATTGGTTCCGGTTGTTCAGGGTAGATGCCTAGAAGTGGTATGACTCGGTCATAAGGGAGGTCAATCTTTAGCTTTCTAAGGACCCTCCAGACTGCTTTCCAAAGTGGTTGTATATGTGTACATTCCCACCAGCAGTGTAATAGGGTTCCTCTTTCTCCACATCCCCTCCAGCATTTGTCGTTGGCTGATTTGTGGATGTGGGGCATTCTGACTGGGGTAAGGTGATATCTCAGGGTTGTCTTTATTTGCATTTCCTTCAGCACCAGGGATGATGAACATTTCCTCATGTGTTTCTTTGCCATTTTATTTCTTCATCTAAGAAGTCCCTCTTTAGTTCCCTTATGCATTTAACAATCGGTTTGTTAGGTTTGGGAGGGATTAGTTTCTTGAGTTCCCTGTATATACTGGATGTTAACCCCTTGTCATATATTGCTGGTAAATATTTTTTCCCAATTACTTGGTTGTCTTTCTAGCTTGTTTGCGATAGATTTAGCTTTGCAGACGCTTTTATTTTAAGGTAGTCCCATTTGTCGAGTCTCTCTCCAATTTGTTGTGACCCTGGGACTCTGTTCAGGAAGTTTGTTCCTGTGCCTATTAGTTCAAGTGTCTCTCCTACTCTGTACTGAAGTAGTTTCAGAGATTCAGGTTTAATGTTAAGGTCTTTAATCCATTTTGAGTTGTTGTTGGTGTATGGTGATAGGCTGGGGTCCACTTTTAGTTTTCTGCATGTGGCCGCCCAGTCTTCCCATCATCAGTGGTTGAAGAGGCTATGTTTCTTCCATTGTATGTCTTTGGCTTCTTTGTCGAATATCAGCTGGCTTTAGGCCTGTGGATTTATTTCTGGATCTTCTATTCTATTCCATTGGTCTTCGGGTCTGTTTTTGTGGCAGTACCATGCTGTCTTTGTTATTATAGCTCTGTAGTTGAGTTTGAAGTTCGGCATGGATATCCTTCCCATATTGTCTATTCTCTAGAATTATTTTGGCTCTTCTAGGTCTTTTGTTGTTCCATATAAATTTTTGGACTGTTTTCTGAATTTCAGTGATGTTTGTCATTGGGATTTTAATAGGAATTGCATTAAATTTGTATATTAATTTTGGCAATATTACCATCTTTATTATATTAAGTCCAAGAGCTGGGGAGGTCTTTCCATTTCCTAGTGTCTTCTGCAATGTCTTTCTTTAACTTTTTTATAGTTTTCATTAAATTGTTCTTTTATATCTTTGGTTAGGTTAATTCCAAAATAATTTATTTTGGGGAGGTTGTTGTGAATGAGGTTGCTCCCTTTATTTCCCTCTCTTCTTGTACATTGTCAGTGTACAGGAAGGCAACTGATTTTTGTAGGTTTATTTTGTATCCTACTACTTTGCCAAAGGGATTTATGATTTCTAAGAATCTTGGGATGGAGTTTTTGGGATGGTGAAGGTATAGTATCATGTCATCTGCAAAAAGGGATTGTTTAATTTCTTCTTTCCCTATGTGGATCCCTTTAATGTCTTTTTCTTGCCTTATTGCCCTGGCTAAGGGTTCCAGGACTATATTAAAGAGGAGTGGAGACAGTGGGCATCCTTGCCTTGTTCCTGATTTTAGGAGACCTGGTTGTAGCTTTTCCCCATTAAGTGTAATATTGGCTATTTGTCTGTCATGAATGGCTTTTATTGTTTTAAGAAATGTTCCTTCTATTCCTATTTTCTCCAGAGCTTTTAGTATGAATGG